GCTGACATCAGGACAGGTGAGTGACACACTCACACACACACGCTGACGTCAGGACAGGTGAGTGACACACTGCTGCACACACACACATGCTGACATCAAACACACACACACACACTCTGACAGACACGTCTCCCTTGTTGCTCACAGGTGCCTCTCCCCGGCAGGTGGCCGCGGCGCAGGGGGCGGGCGCGGCGCAGAGGGGGGGAGACGCGCCCTGCGATCTGACCGACCCGCCGGACGGACCCCGGGCCCCGCCTGGTGGGGCTGGAGAGACACACCACCACAGACCGACGGGACGGCGCGGGGGGGGGAGGACTCTTGTTTTCTCGGAGCAGAAGAGACTGAAATTTCCAAACCAGCAGAGGGGGGTCGGACCAGGGGCGGGGGGGGCATTTCTGCATTTTTACAGAGTTGTTATCGTCACGGTTGTTTTCTACTCAAGTCCCAATTTTTGGAGCGTCAGTGACATCACACCCTCCCTGGGACGGGGGCTGATGACATTGCATGGAATGGAGGGGGGGAGGGGAGGGGGTTGCCTTGGAGACGTTGCTGCCTTGGAGACGGAAGCTGTTACCATGAGAAGTATTTTGGGGATGGGGATGGGGGTCGGGGGGGAGTGGGGTATATTTTTTTTCCGTTCGTTTGCAGTATTGACCAGCAGTTCCTGATGGACAGAGGATACAGACTGACGGACGTCCACGACCTTAAAGACTCGAGCAACACACACGCAAAACAACAACGAAACAAAAACAAAACTGGACTTCAAAAAAAAAGAAAATATTTCAGAACATTTTAAAAAACGCAAACGCATTTAATCAATTTTGAAAGTGGAGGTGCTGCCGGGAGGAGGCTGTTATTGTAATTTGTCTCTGTGGAGGGTCCGGGCTGGAGGTGCAGTTTATTTACTGGGGAGGGGGGTTTGTTAAAAAAATAAAAAGGATTCAATTTCCAAGTCAAGCACAGCGGCTCGTGGACTCCCTGCCTCTCGGACCCAGGCTCGGCCTCTGCTGCCTGCGGGCCTCTGAGCCTCGGCGCTGTGCTGTGTGTCTGTGCCAGTCCCACACGCTTCCTCTCCCTCTGTCTACACGCCTCACTCCTCACTCTCTCAGTGAGTCTGTGTCCCCCTGTCTCACTCCTCCTCACTCTCCCAGTGTGAGTCTCTGTCCCACTGTCTCACTCCTCCTCCCTCTCCCAGTGTGAGTCTGTTTCCTGACTGTTTCACTCCTCTCAGCCTGTTCCACACTCCCACCCCTCTCTGTGTACAGTAGAGCCTCCTGTCCTGACTGCAGGAGCTCATCCAGCTGTGTCTGGAGAGAAGCCATCGTATACGCTTCAACAAGCTGGCTGGGCAGCTTGTTCCCTCCTCCCACCCCTCTCTGTGTACAGAAGAGCCCCCTGTTCTGACAGGGGGCTGCTGCTGCAGTTTACAACGGTAAGAACGTGAATGTCGACGCTGAATACGCGCCGTGCGTCGCTGCCATAGTGACGGCTGAGCGCGTCGCGTCCTAATTTTTAAACGGTAGAGGAGGGCTCGAGCCGCCGCCGCCGCTGTCGTGTCGTCACATCCGGCCGCGCTCGCGCCCCCCACGCGCCGGGCGTTTGAATCGCGCTCGCGCAAGGCGGCCGTTAACCCGTCTCGGCCGCTCGGAGCCCGGGACAGCCGGCAGAGGCACCGGGCGGACCGGGCGGACCGGGCGGGGCGCCGCTCTCGGCTGAGATAGGAACACAGGAGCCCTGCCGCTGAGGGAGGGAGGGAGGAGCGGCGGCGGCGACGCGGAGGTGTTTCTCAGGGCCGGAGTCCGGTCCCACACGGGCGGGGGTGGAGAACCGGGTAAGCGTCTGGCCCGGTTCGGGAGCGCCTCCGCGGCCGCAGCAGGAGCCCGGGAGCAGGACGGGGGGCTGCAGGTCCATCAGGTACCCGCAGGTACGAGGGGCTGCGGCCGGATCCGCTTCCTTCAAGGTGTACGATTAGTTTACACGCTCTCTCCAGCTTCAGCTGGACTGGGACTGTAGCTCCTAGTGTAACAGACTGGTCTACTGTACACTGACAGTAGACCAGTCTGTTACA